TTGTACGTTTTGGTTCGCTCCCTTCTGCATTCCTGTTCCGGTGGTTAGGGTCGGGCACTTGTGCTCCGACGGCCCGCTAAGCCCACCTAGGTGTCGTTAAGGCTTAGGTTAGGGTTTTCATGTTTCCTGTACCCCTTATGGAGAAACAGGGCATTCAGAAACGAACTCTGGTTTTCAACCAGTCCTCTGGGAACCAGTTTGTTTACGGTCATGATTTTGTGACTTTCTTGAGGCAGAACGGTATCGACCCGAAGTCCATTGTTTCTATGGGCTCGGGTAGATCTGCCAGGTCGTTTCATGTGACCTTTGAATCTGAGGAAACTGTTTCGTCTATATTAGAAAAACACCCTGTAGCTGAGATTGGGACGAATTCTTATTCTTTATCTGGTGGTGATAAATCAAAACTTATCGCCCGTCTTTTCTGGTTACCCGAATACATTTCAGACCATGATATAGCAAATTTTTTTAAAGCCTTTAATTTAAAGGTCGTTAGTGTGTCAAGGGAGTTTTTTTCAAACGAGGGGTTGAAACATATCAGAACCCTAACTAGAAGAGTGTTGCTTGAGGGGAAACCTGGTGGATTTGATTCGCTCCCCCACACCTCCTCAGTCTGTGGGAAGGATGTCCTGATAATATTACAGGGTAGGGCCCCAATATGCCTCAAATGCTTTCAACCGGGGCATATGCGGAAGGAATGCCCTTTTTCTAAGACTTCTAGTGTAGCTTCAGTTTCCTCGTATGCTAGTGCTTTAAGTAAGGCTCCGCCTTCTAGGAATTTTGTACCTGCATCCAGTTTGGTAAAGTCCTTGACACTGAGAGACTAAACTCAGTGCTCGGCAGTTTAACTCCCGGTGGTTCGTCCAATGGGGAGGGTATGGTGTCAGAGGGGGAGTTCTCCGATGAGGACTCCCTGACCTGATTAACTTGTTACCTGTACTTACCTGGTGTTTTCTTTATTTTTTTTTATACTTACCTTACCTTACAGCAATGGCGTTAACCATCACGACCATTAACTGCAATGGGTTGTTAGGGCCCAACAAAATACTTTATTTACAAAACCTTTTGTCCCTTGAACAATTCCATATTGTATTTTTGCAGGAGACGCATGTCTCAAGTCTTTCCGTAGCTAAGCGTTTTGAATGTGTTCTTAACTATAAATGTTTTTGGTCCTTTGATACTAATAACAGCTCTGGTACAGCAATACTCCTTAAACATAATTTCAGTTATACAATAGACAAGTTTCACTTTGATCTAGAGGGGCGCCTAATAAACGTATATTGTCCGAATACACCTTCGGATAGAAATGTTTTTATTAAGTGTCTGGAAAGATTTTTGGTCTCTTCCAGATTAGTTATTTTTGGTGGTGATTTTAATTTCGTTGAAAACAACATTTTAGCCAAAACTGGTGGTAATACTGATAAACTTTCTTCAAGTTGTTCTATTTTCAATAATTTAAAGTTAAATTTTAATTTTAAAGATGTTTTCCGGTTTCATTACCCGAATAAAATCCTTCACACGTGGAGCAGCTCGTCTGTTTCCTGTAGGTTGGATAGGTTTTATGCTAGGACTAATTCGTTAACTGCTACTAGCAACTTTCAGTCTCAGCCGTTAATATTTTCAGATCACCATTGTATTTCCTTTTCCTTACTTTTAAATTCTAGCATTTCAATTGGAAAGGGATACTGGAAGTGTAACAACTCCAGTGTTACCAGTTTCAATTTTATTAGTGATTTTAAATCCTTTTACAATACTTTTTCTTATCTTGTTGGGGAAGATCTTTCTCTAAACAATTGGGATCTTTTTAAATTTCAGACTAAGCAATTATGTGTTGAATTTCAGCGTAAATATAAATCAACTAAAGACAAAGAGCTAGCTGTCCTTAGGGTCGAGTACAGATCTTTAGCCGAGCACAAGCTTGCTGCTCCAGGGAGTCTCTCTTCGCGTCTGTCCGAGGTTAAACAACAGATTCGTTGTTTGGAGGACGCGGAGATTGACGGTGCTCGTGTTCGGTCGAAATCTGACTCGATGGAAGCGCTGGAAAACCCCTCCAGATATTTTTTGAGAAAGGAGCATGATCGTGCTGCCAGGAAGACTATTACCCGTACTGAAGATGGTGATCACCAGTGCACCACTAACAGCACGATCATGCAGTCTTTTGTTTCATTTTACTCTTCCCTGTTTAAAAAAGATAGCATTTATTTTTCTGATGCGGATCACTTCTTGGAAGATCTGCCCTCCCTTGGTGACTCTGTTAGGGATTCACTAGAGGGGGAGAACTCCAAGAGTGAAATTCTTTCTGCCCTTTCTGCAATGAAAAGTGACAAGTCTCCTGGTCTAGACGGATTGACCAAAGAGTTTTATCTCGCCAATTTTGACGTTCTCGGTGATGTTCTTTTTCATCTTTACAAACTAATTTTTAAATCCAATTCATTATCTCCGTCTCAAAGCCTGTCTTACATTACTCTTATTTGCAAAAATTTAGAACATCCCGAGAGCGTCAAGAATTGGCGACCTATCTCTCTCCTGAACATAGATTATAAGATTTTGTCCAAAGTTTTAGCTACCCGTCTTGGTAGTGTTTTGGAGGACATCATTGGCCTGGATCAGACTTGTTATGTTCCAGGCAGATAATCTTGGACAATGGTCACCTGTTGAGATCTGTGGTGGACTATGTTCAGGAGAGAAATTTACCTTGTGCTTTCGTCTGTCTGGACCTGGAGAAAGCCTTTGATCGCGTTTCGCATGAGTTTCTTTTTTCATGCTTAGAACATTTTCATTTTGGTAGTAATTTCAGAAAATGGATTAAAATTTTATATAGTAATATTTATTCGTCTGTCATTGTGAATCAGCATATCTCCAATCCATTTCCAGTCACAAGATCTGTAAGACAAGGCTGCAGTCTCTCTCCTCTTCTATATGTGTTAGCTTTGGAGCCATTCCTAATTAAAGTACGGAATGACCCTCGAGTGGTGGGCATCACCATTCCAGGCTCCTCATCAATCTCTGCCAAATTATCAGCTTATGCCGATGACACGACTATAATTTGTGCTTCAGATGTTTCTATCCAGAGAGTTTTTGACATCTGGAGCCAAACTTAATTTATCCAAGTCTAAAGGTATCTTCTTTGGTAAATGGGCTAGCCGATCGGACCATCCTTTCGGCATAAGCTGGATTAATGGCAGTAAGTTGATGGGGATCCCTTTTGGTAATGTGCCATCCTTTTGGGATAATGTTTTTAATAAAATAGAAAAGTCGTTAAACTTATATTAATA